AGTGAAAAATGGTTTAGCCCCAAAGGTACTAAAAGACTCATTGGGTTCCAAATCCATCAGGAATACGTATTCTGGAATATACTATATCTGGCTACGGGTGGTGGCTGTATGCCTTCTTTTATGGAAGACAGTCATCTGTTTGAAGATATGTCAGAATACAGTTCTCCAGTTCAAAACATTCTGTATTTGACAGGCTGTCCAAATTTGCTTTAAAAGCAAAGAACCATAAGGAGGGAGGGCATTCACAGTTACTACCCAGGGACACAGATCATCTGGCCCCAGTCTTTCTTACTTGGGTTAGTTAGGCATCCTTCAGTCTCGAAAGACTATGGTAACATGCTCTGTATGGAAGACTTGGAACAGCGTCTGTTGTGACTGAGGAGGCCAATTCGAGAGTGACAATCTCTTCCACACTGAAGACAAATACAATCTGTCCCCTGTCCAGCTCCCTGGTTATGTTGCTTTTGTGACTTCCTCTTTGCCTTGGCCTGTTGGACAAGGTTCTCTTCAAATTGGGAGAGGCCATGATGCAACGCCTGCCTCCAGGCTGAACGCTCAGATGCCAGGGTTATAATTCTGTTACAATTCTGTTTCAACTACAAATATAATTTCAATTTGCATCTCTGTATGTAGAAATCGCCACATTTTAAACAAAGTGATATCCTCTGTTTTTGTTGTTATTGTTGGCGGTAAAAGCTGCTTAACCTGAAATATGCAAACCTCTCTTCTCTACATCTTGACAGGCACACGAAATACATGATGGGGTGTTCTGCTGATTTTTTGTGAAAAGAAAATTGGGGTTTCAAGCATGGACTGGCATCTTTTCTGATTGTAATTCTTGAGAAGAAGAATTGTTGCCAGATCAAAAGATTCACTCTTCTAGATTTTGGAGTCTGGGAAAATTCCTTAGAGGTGGAGGAGATGGGCAGTGACAGGGCTGGTTATAAGGACAGCATTCCACCGTATCCATTTCTGCAAAATATTTCCTTTTAGGACAACAAATTTGTTGGCTCCTGCAGTGCATTTTTCCCCTGCTTAAATACACATGCACTTTGTCATTTTTTGTAGATTAGAGACTGGAAATTATTACAATTTAGGCACAATTATCTGAATATTTGCTCCACATAAACTCAAAAGTTTTTTTTGTCGTTTAAAGACCAATTTCAACTTGAATTGTTTTCATAGGTCCTTTCTTTGTTTACTTTCTTGGCCTAAGCTCTCATGAATGAGCAGCAGAGCAGTATTTCATTTCTTTGCCTTTTCCTAGACTCCTGCTTGCCTCCAAGGACATCTTTTATTTATTTATTTCTTCCCCTCCTCCTATGTTTCCCATTCACCATGGAAACCCTCCACAAAGCAGAATTGCAAAGATGTGGAAACAAGCCATATTCTCAAAATAACTCTTTTGAGTCTTACAGAGTGTCCTTGGACCAATAAAATGGACCTGGATGTCAAGCCACCAGTGTCTTGTCGTCTACCTACCGCTCAGTTACATTTCCTGGTTCATCCCCTTGTAGAACAAATTCTGAAGATACCAGAACAAACACAGCACAGTGTCCTTTTTTTGACTCCTACTAAAACTCTGTGACCATAAACAAATTTCTAAGATACAATTCATCTGCAATATACTGATTGTGTGCTTTAAGTGAGTAATTCCATAAAGACAGTTGGTGGTCTTTATGGTTTATAAAATCTATGTCTTAGCTAAATTACCACCGGACGTTAAGACGCACTTAATTTTTAAATACCAAAAATTAAAATAAAATAAAAATATATAAACAGAGCAAGTCCCACACTGGGACTGCCAAAAAAAATCACCAAAAAACAAAGCAACATAGAAACATGCCCCCCAGCCCAAATCTACCCTCCAAAACCCACCCAGAACATTTTTTAAAAAGTAAAAAGCAGCAACTAATTTTTAAATACCAAAAAATGAAGT